TTTCTTGAAGTATCGTTGTCTCTGAATGAATTTCAAAACAAGTTCTTCAGCGATCACTGAACAAGCTCAGTGTATGATCGCTGGAACTGAAATTACAGATACAAAAATACATCGAAAGGAAAAAGGGATTATCATCAAATCACTGTGAGAGAGGATCAACAGTAACTACTGAGTATGTCAGGGTCATGAAAGGATATTTTGTTGCATGGGCCCAAAATTTCAAAATGGGTCCAAGAGCAAACCCACTATGGAAATTAAAACCATCGTTGGCCTATGCACAGTGGATTAGAGAACCTTACCTTCTCGAGATGCCTTAGGGAGGTTGATAGCCATAAAGAGAGAGAATTTGTTTTGTATTTTGAATTGATGTTTAGCTTGGGATGTTTTTGCTGGCTGATACTTTGAAGATGATTTAGTAATCCCAAATTTTGATAACTATAGTAGACTTATGTATTTATTATCTCTCTTTTGAAATCCTTAATATGAATAATAAATTGTGGCTTTGTGGTTTGAAATGGTGGTAGTCATTTTTGTTCCTTCTGTTTTCACAGTGGTTGCATGTATTTAGTATTTAGATTTTAATATCGCGCTACTGTATTTAGTATGGTATCACGTGGATCTGCAAGAAATGCCATTATCAGGGAGGGAGTTGGAAATCAGCCACCACTAACAAGAAGAGGCTGTGGTCGCGGTCGGGGTCGGGGTCGTGGTCATGGTAACACCGCAAGCTCAAGTGAAACTTTTTCTGTGGATCCAAGCTCGTCCACCCGTAGGGTACGAGAGCAAAATCAAGGAATTGGAAGAGGAGAAAGTGACGTTACCGATGAGGCACTAACTGAAAGGATGACTCGAGTCCTCCAAAATACCCTTCCAAGCATGCTAAAGGCCATGTTAGGTGATAGGTTCAAAGGCTCCGGAGAGGAAGAGGAAGCAAGCACCCAGAAAGAGAAGAGAATGATTAACTCCCAAACCACTGAAAAAATGGAGTCGTTTGTCCAAGGGAAAGATGAGCCACCAGTGGAGCTGAGGGTGGAACCCCAAACCATGAAAGGGGTTACAGTTACAAGACTTTTAGTAGCACTCGTCTAAAGGAATTCAGAGGTATTGAGGGCCCGGTAGCCCAAATGAACTAGGTGACTAAAATGCAAAGTTGTTTTACTATTTATAAGTGTCTAGAAGAACAGAAGGTGACTTACACTGCTACCACCTTTGGAGATTCGGCACTTCATTGGTGGGAGACTGAATGCGCCATTCGAGGAGATGAAAACATCGCTACCCTAACCTGGGAGCAAATGAAGAAAATGTTGATGGATAAATATTGTACGCAGTCAGAGATGAATAAGTTGTATTCGGAGTTCCTAAGGTTGGAGCAAGGATCTTTATCTATTCAAGAATACGTGAACAAATTTCTAGAACAGGTTAGGTTTGCTAGTTATCAGGTGGCAATTAAGTAAAGAAAGATAGATCGATTTAAGGATGGTCTAAGGATCGAGATAAAGCAGTATGTAGATATGGTTAAACCAACCACGTTTGTTCAAGCTGTGGAAATGGCGATTGTTGCGGAGGAAAATAACGTCAAGGCAACTAGGGAGAGAAGGGAGGTCAAAAGGAAATGGGAAGTGTCAAGTAAGTTGACAAAGAAATCCAAGGGGGAGATGACAGATACAAAGTCAAGAAATGAAGAGTTCACAATTCTTCAACGCACCAAATACAATCAAAGAAATAAGGGTGAATGTTGGGTAGCAAAAGTGACATGTTATCGGTGTGGAAAATGCGGGCACACATCAAGGGAGTGTACTGAAAGCAAACTTTTCTATGATTATGGGGCATCATGTCATATATGGTCTGAATGCCCTAAGAACCACAATAAGCAATGTTAGAGCTTCATGTAACGGGTCGGGAAGAGGGGCGAAAAAGAAGAAGGAACTACTTAAGGGACGAGGAAGAGCATACAACATGACTTTGGAGGAGGCTAGGGAGTCTCTTGACATCGTATTGGGTATGTTTCTTGTAAACAATGTTTATGCTCATGTGCTGTTTGATTCAGGTGCAAATGCTAGTTTCATGTTTTCTACTTTCCGCCATTATTTAAATAAGGATGCTTGTAGACTAAGGAAGAGCTACATTGTAGAAATCGCTGACGGCAGTCAAGTTAAGATAGATGAAATAGTTTATGGATGCACAATCTGTATAGATGGTAGGGAATTGCCTGTTAGGTTAATGCCTATGTGTTTAGGTGGTTTTGATGTGGTTTTAGGGATGGACTGGTTATCCGAAAACCAAGCACAAATTGTGTGCCACCAAAAGAAGATCAAAATCCAAACCCCTAAGGGGCAAATGTTTCATGTTTATGGTGATCAAAGAAAGTGTGGTACAAGAATCATCACCACACTAAAAGCAAGAAGGTGCCTTCGGAAAGGGTGCACTACTTATCTAGCGTATGAGATCGACGCTAAGTCAGAAAAGAGAATGGTACAAGGGGTACTAGTGGTGAACGAGTATCCGGAAGTTTTACCAGATGAACTACAAGGGGTACCAGTGGTGAACGAGTATCCGGAAGTTTTATCGGATGAACTACTAGGACTACCATCAGAACATCAAGTTGATTTCCATATTGACTTAATACCAGGTGTGGCTCCTGTTGCACGAGAACCTTATCGGTTAGCCCCAACAGAGATGCAAGAGTTAATGAAACAACTTCAGGAGTTGTTACACAAAGGGTTTATCGGACCAAGTTCATCACCATGGGGAGTGCCAATCCTATTTGTAAAGAAGAAAGATGGCTTAATGCGAATGTGCATTGATTATCGTGAGTTTAACAAGTTCACGATCAAGAATAGATACCTATTACCAAGAATTGATGACTTATTTGACCAGTTACAAGGAGCTAGCCACTTCTCGAAGATTGATTTAAGATCAGGTTACCACCAGTTGAAAGTACGAGAATAAGATGTGCCAAGAACTACTTTAGAACTCGACATGGTCATTACGAATTTATAGTAATGCCCTTTGGACTGACAAATGCTCCAGCAACATTCATGGACCTGATGAATAGGGTATGTAGGTCGTATCTGGACAAGTTTGTCATTGTCTTTATCAATGACATTCTTATTTACTCGAAAAGCGAAAAAGAGCATGGGAAATATTTAAGAACTATTTTGGAACTACTGATGAGGGAGAAGTTGTATGCCAAATTTTGTGAATTATGGTTACGAGAAGTGCAGTTTCTCGGTCATGTGGTCAACTTGGAAGGAATTAAGGTGGATCCGGCAAAGATAGAGGCGGTCATGGATTGGGAGTTGCTAAAATTTGCATCCGAAATCCGAAGTTTTCTGGGTCTAGCAGGCTATTACTGAAGGTTTATCAAGGATTTCTCCAAAATAGCAACGCCTATGACCAATTTGACGAAGAAGTCAATTAAGTTTGCTTGGGGAGAAGAATAAGAAGAAGCTTTCCGAACCCTCAAGACCAAATTGAGTAACGCGCCAGTCCTTGCCTTACCGGAAGGAACAGAAGATTTTGTTGTTTATAGTGACGCCTCTAAGATGGGTCTGGGTTGTGTACTGATGCAAGGAGGCAAGGTTATCGCTTATGCATCACTACAATTAAAGGAGCACGAGAAGAAGTACCCAACCCATGATATGGAGTTAGTTGCAGTAGTATTCGCGCTGAAGATTTGGAGACACTATTTATATGGTACAAAATGTATGATATATTTGGATCATAAGAGCCTGAAGTATCTTTTTTATCAGAAGGAACTGAATATGAGGCAGAGGAGATGGAAGGAACTCCTAAAGGATTACAATTGTGAAATCCATTACCATCCCGACAAAGTAAACGTAGTGGCCGATGCTTTAAGTAGAAAGGAAAGGGTCGAGCCTATTCGAGTGTAGGCCATGTGGATGAGCGTAAAGGTGGATATGGTAGATCAAATCCGGTATGCTCAAAAGGAACCCTTGATTGATGGGATGGTTGGGAAAATTAAGAAGAGGATGGCTGGGAAAATTAAGCCACTGACAACCGGATCAGATGGGATTCATAGATTTGGAGATCGAGTATGCATTCCTAACTTAGGTGATTTGAGAGGCAAAATACTAGATGAGGCACATAAGTCTAAGTACACTATGCACCCGGGTAGCGATAAAATGTACAAGAATTTGAAGGAGAGCTATTGGTGGCCGGGTATCAAGAAGTCAGTAGCTTAGTATGTGGAGAAGTGTTTGACTTGCCTACAAGTGAAGACAGAACACCAAAAACCTTCAGGAATGTTACAACAAATGGAAATACCAGTATGGAAGTGGGATATGATAGTAATGGACTTTGTAACCAAGCTACCAAAGACGATAAAAGAACATGATGCAATATGGGTGATTGTTGATCAATTGACGAAGTCTGCTCACTTCCTATCGATCAGAGAAAAATATACACTAGAGAAGTTAGCTCAACTATATGTCAATTAGATTGTGTCAAGGCATGGTGCGTCGATATCAATTGTCTTAGACAGGGATGCCAGATTCACATCGAGATTTTGGTCAAGCTTCCAACAAGAGATGGGGACTCGACTGAATTTAAGCACTGCCTACCACCCATAAACCGATGGTCAAAGTGAAAGGACGATACAAACACTTGAAGATATGCTAAAGGCGTGCACTAGCAATTTTGGGGGCAGCTGAAACAACCACTTACCATTAATAGAGTTAGCATACAACAATAGTTATCATTCGAGCATTAAGACAACACCTTTCGAAGCCCTATACGGTCGAAAGTGTAGAACACCTATGTGTTGGGCGGACACCGAAGAAAGACAGCTGGATGTACCGGAGTTAGTTCAACAGACATCAGATAAGATAGCCCAGATACGGGAACGATTGAGGATCACGCAAGACAGATAGAAAAGTTATCCGGATAAAAGGCGTAGGCCTATAGAATTTCAAGTTGGGGACCGGGTGATGCTAAAAATATCACCGTGGAAGGGAATAGTTTGCTTTGGTAAATGTGGAAAGCTAAGTCCAAGATTTGTTGGACCATTCGAGATTATAGGAAGGGTGGGGGCGGTGGAATATCGTTTGAAGCTACTAGAAGAATTACAAGGGATTCATGACACATTCCACGTGTCAAATTTGAGGAAATGCTTAGCTGACGAAACAATGACTTTGGCATTAAAAGATATGAAGATCAATAAAAAAATGGGCTACGTTGAGGAACCAATTCAAGTCTTGGATAGAAAAACATAGAGGTTACGAAACAAGACCATTCCATTGGTTCTTATAAAGTGGAAATTCCACAAGGGCTCAGAGATGGAGATGAGAGCCAAATATCCGCATCTATTCAATGATGAGTGATTTCGGGGACAAAACCTTATTTTAGGAGGGGAGAGTTGTAACACTCTAAAATTTGGGGAATTTTGTAATTAAAGTTTTTTTATGAAGCACTAGATATATGAAGTAATTTAAAATATTTACTTCTAAAGGCTCTTGCTTCCAAAGAAAATATATCGTTACTGCAAATAAAGAGTTTTATAAATGTTAAATATTTTTTTTTCAAATTCAAATTTCCATATATAAATCAGAAAGAAAGCCAATTATGGTTATATTTAGGGAGATTGATTGTCTTTCCACTATAATGAGATTCAAAGGATTAAGAGGGAATATGTATATTCCCTCATTTACCTTCACGAGATTAGAAACACTAAAGGAAAAAAAATGAGAGAAATAGAGAGGAAGTAAGATTCTGCGAGAGGAGGAGTATAAAAGAGAAAAGAGATAAAGACGGCGCTCGAATCGGGAACTAGTTTCAACAACGCTAAGGTAAAAAAATCCCTATAACTCTTAAATTGATGATACGCCGGTGATCTTGATTTATATCAATGTTTATTGAGCCAATTAGTTAATCAAATAATGGATTTAAGAAGATCAATAGATACAAATCGAAACATGTAAGAAATAGATATGCTGATACTTTTATACAAATCTCAATGGATTAACCGAGAGAATACGATTGCGAGGTAAAAGACAGTATATAAAGGGATGGGGGCCATGGTGCCAAAGCATGTACAAATTTTTGTTTGAAGGTAAAAGAGCGTATATGGTTCTAGTCATGAAATAGGATGGTAACCATGGCCAAACTGCAAAGCATGGCTTCCATTAACCATGGCTAAACTGCAAAACATGGCTTCCATGCATATATATGTAACAACCCTCACATCTCAAATACACATAATTCACATCATCATTCTCATAATACTAAAATAGTATTATTACAAAACATGAACTATCAAAATGTATCTTTAATACATATACATAACAAGCTAATATCAACAATTAGACTTTTCCCTTGCCTTTATCTTTTAGAGCACTCTGTCCTGCAAAACAGGTTAATCCAACATCTGAGCGTTAGACCAAAAGGTCTAGTGAGTGTATAATCTCATACAACAATATATATTCCAAACATTCAGTTTAGAATCAAACCTGTTCCGAAACATAAGTATATTTATGTTTCTCGCGGATTACACCGCCATCTCATTCTCATATCTCTTTCTCACTCGCGGTTACACCGCCATTATATCACTCTCGCGATTACACCGCCATCTCACTCGCAGTTACACTGCCCATTATATCACTCTCGCGGTTACACCGCCATCTCACACGCAATTTACACTGCTCATATCACTCTCGCGGTTACACTGCCATCTCACATGCAGTTTACACTGCTCATATCATTCCAAAAACATTCTTTCAAAAACATCTCTTTTTATCCGGACTTGAAGTCCGGTCATAACCGTCCGGATTAGATGTCCGGTCAATACCCTTTAAAATTATTTCCTTTCCAACCGGATTACAAATCCGGACTAACACTTAGAAAATAATTCAACCTTGTCCGGTTTAGTAATCCGCTCAAAACAACACTTTGAAAATATAATATCCTTGTCCGGTTTAAGAATCCGCACACCATATCATTCTCTTTGTCATCCGGTTTAGATGAAACCAATCAATTCACATTTTAACCTTTGAGCGGTTTAATATAATCCGGTCAACACACCGTACAACTCTTGACCGGTTTAAAAGATATCCGGTCACCTCTTGGTCGGTTTACAACATAATCCTTTCACTTCTTGTCCGGTTTAAGAGATATCCGGACAAAGCACATCCGGTTTAAGTATCCGGATTTCAATCCGGACACCACTCGGTCGGTTTACACAAGAATGATCATAAAATGTCATTTAATTCATAATAACCAGTTCCATACATGATTATCAAATCATATATAAGCAATTCATATTTCAAAGCTCTAAACACTCACCTTTTAAATTGAAAATCAAAACCTTTTGAAACTTTCCTCTTCTTGTTCCTGAGCAGATTCTTCAAAATTCTCCAGAGCAATATTTCTAATATGGAATGTGTGTGTGCCTTTTCCTTTACAAAAACTATATATACATATTACAAGAAGAGGAGAGAATGGCGGCTCCTCAAGCCGACCTCCCCTATTTATATTAAAATAAATTAATAACTCCATGCACACACTTCTCATACCACATATATATATATATATATATATATATATATATATAAACCTGAATAAAATACAGACTATTACAATATTCCCTCCTTAAAAGAATTCCGTCCCGGAATTCACTTAAGCAAAAAGGCAGGGATATTTCATTCTCATTTCCGACTCTGGTTCCCAGGTGGCATCTGACCCTTTATGATAACGCCACTGATCCTTTACTAACCCAATCTCTTTGTTTCGTAACTTTTTCACCTTATAATCAGTAATCTGCTCAGAAGTTTCTTCAAAACATAACTTTTCATCTACCTTAATCTCAGGTAGTGGTACTGCCACATCTGGACTTATTAGTATTGTCTTAATTCATTAGTATCGTTTTAATGCATACTTTTGATTAAGATTTATTGGTTTGGCTGATTTTTTTTTATTCGATCAATTGTATACGATATTTTTTTTACAAAAAGTATATGGGTCACGAAAAAGTTAGACCCGTATATTACACAGGGTATTTTAAATGAGGAAAATGAGTCGAGACTTTTCCTCAGGTCTAAAAGAAAATTTTGAACATTAACTTTGAAACACAAGAAATCAGAGTTCTGGTGTTAGTCTAGAAAATAAATATGGACTTAACTCTAAATGAAAGAAATTGAGATTTACCTTTTAAGTCTTGGAAGTATCTCTGAGCATAACTCTGAATCACAAGAATTCTGACTTCTTATAACTTAGAAAAGTAACTCTGAATAGGAGTTTAGAGTTGCATTAAAAAATCTGGGAAGAAACTACATAAATAAATTTGGAATAGAAGAATTCAGAGTTATATTGTAAGTCTGGAAAATAACAAATATCTAATGCC